CCAGGCCCTGTAAGTTAGTCTTTTCTAGATCTGGATAAGGCAGATAAGAAAGTGTCAGAGAAAGCCTATTTGTATTTGATGTTTACTTCCTCTACACATCCTAATCTCCCTGACAAAAGGACAGCTTCTCATAAATATTTCTGTGACTGAGTTACCTGCTGCACTGCCTACCTGATTCAGCTGGACCCTACCCTGATGTTGTTGCCCAGGGCAGTGCCTGTGTGACATGGCTGAACCCCTTCTCACCTTTAACTCTGCTTATTTTTAGGAAACAGGATGTCTGTGGTCAGAAGCTTCTGAAGCTGGTGAAATCCATGATGGCAGCTTACCCAACCTCTGAAAAACATCTAGCTTCATTATAATCCAATTTCCAAGCTAAATAGCACGCCCATCAGTGCCTGACAGTTGACAATCACTATGACAATGAACAGAAGAGACCAAGAAAGGACAGAAAAGAGGTAGCTCCTTGATTGTAGGAAAATTTCCATCTCTTCCTAAGAAAAGCATGAATATTTTCCCGCTGCTCAACCCCTTCATTAAAGATCCTCTATATTTGTAACTTCCTGGTTCTCAGTAGCTGAGAAGGTGATTTGCAAGCTATGCTCCTACTTCTCCAACGTCACTGAATACAGCCTGTGCTGCGTGACGCTCACTTGTGCTCTCAAACATTGGCTTTGCCATACTAAACAGGAAAGAGCCCCTTTTTGGGGTGAGACCCCTAGCAACATCTGCAGCCTCTCTAAATAGCCGTCTCAATATGTACCAAAGAAGTGTATTTTGGGGTGGCATATGTTGGGTTTCCCACAAGGCCAAGCCAACATAATAGGATTCTTGCTGAATGCAGGATGATCAGACATCACCTAGGGAATGCTGAAGGATGAGAAACCCTATTAGATGTTTTCAGTGATCAGATACTGGAGATGGGGAATTCTGGCTAAACTGAGAAGGATTGTTGCTGAAATTGAACGATGCAGAGAGGAACATAGACGCTCAATAGCTGAAGCCTCGTGGGAGGAGGATTCAGAAGAGCCTGATGAGAGTTTGGTCAAGGAGATGTCAACCTGAAATAATTGAAAGGTTCAGAATTCAGGGTTAAACAGTTTATTCATTCTGCTTATGGGAAATAATGGCAAAAAAAATTTTTAAATTTATTTAAGCAAAAATCTAGGAATAGCCCACAGATTTTAGAGAAATGGGGTCAGTGCTACAAAGTCAAAAGTCAAGTTCTTGCTTACATAGAAATAAAAAAAAAAAAAAGAAATTTAATAGGATCACACCATTTTTCAAACAAGGCTGCTTTAAGAGTTACAAGAAATTAATTGCTCTCAGGATTTTGTTTGTTTGTTTTTTTGAGATGGAGTCTCACTCTGTTGCAAAGGCTGGAGTGCAGTGGCATGATCTTGGCTCACTGCAACCTCTGCCTCCTGGGAGTTGGAGTTCCAACATCTTACATTTTAAATTACTTATTTTCACAGAAAGAATCTTTGTCAGTTGTCACTGACTGATTCCTCCAGACCATGTCCTGTCCAGTGATCCTCCCCAAGACAATAGGTCTCTCTGGCAACTACAGTTCTCCATTCCCATTTCAGTTTTCACGTCCATTGACCGAGTTGTGCATACCAACTCCCACACGTGTATGTTGAAGCCCTAACTCCCAATGCGATGGTTTACGCAGCTGGGGCCTTTGAGAGGTAATTAGGATTAAATGAGGTTATGAGAGTGGGGCCCTCCTGCTGAGATGAATGCCATTATAAGAAGAGACACTAGAAAGTTTGCTCCTCTCCCTTCCCTATGGTACACAAAGAAATGGCCACATGGGCACACAGCGAAACTACAGCCACTTACAGGCCATAGGAAGAGAACTTGGAATGAAATCGCTTTGCTAGTACCGTTTGTTATCTTGGACTTCCCAGCCTCCAGAAGTGTGAGAAATAAATTTCTGTAGTTTAAGCCACTTGGTCTATGGTATTTTGTTATGGCAACCTGAACAGACTAATACAACAATCCAGTCCTAGAGGCAATACGGCTTCTCTGCCGATCCCTGATTCCAAGTGCCTCTCAGTCCTTTGCTGGGTGATTTTGGTCCTGTCAATATATCTATAAATATTCCCTTCATAAAACTCTCTTTAAATCACACATCTGAGTGTGCCTCTTGGTTCCCATCAGAGCCAAGACTGATTTAAGATGATTTCTTAAGGTCAGGTTCATGTCTTAATCCAGTTGTACTGCTAAAATAAAATACCACGGAGTGAGTAACTTACAAACAATAAACATTTATTGCTCACAGTTATGGAAGATGGGCAGTCCAAGATTAAATTGCTAGCAGGCTCAGTATCTGGTGAAGGCCTATTCCTCTGTCACCCGGGGTGGAGTGCAGTGTTGCAAGCTTGACTCACTGCAACCTCCACCTCCCAGGCTCAAGTAATCCTCCTACCTCAGCCCCCTGAGTAGCTGGGGCCACCAGTGCACACCACCACGCCTGGATAATTTTTTTTTTTTTNTTCAGTGAGCCTTACAGGAGCAAGTTGCACTCATTAGAGGAGCAGCAGGTCGACTTGGCTCATGACATAGACAGTGAGTACTCCATTGTGAAGGCGATAAAGCTGCATTTTGTGTCCCAGATAGACCCCATAGTCTTTGGGCATTGCTTCCCTGGCTGGGCTGAGAGTTGTCATCACTCTGGATTTCAGTCTAGATTTCAGTCACTCTGGATTCCAGTCTGAAGCACGGACATGGGGTGGGTCAGTGAGCTTTGCTCTCTCTCTAGTCTCAGGCCGTGCCCGTCGCACCCTGGACCGACTGTCAGGACATTGAAACCCAAGGCAGGTGTTGCACACTCACACCAAGCTATGCAGCGCATGCCCACGAGTTGTCTTTCAATCTGAATTCAATGTCTCTTGCCAGCTACCCAGTTCCTCATGAGTTTTGTTCCCCAAGCATGTCTGTGAGGTTCTTCCCTGCTTGTACAAACTTGGTGTGTTTGTACAAACTTGGGATAAAAGGATAATGGTCTACCAGAATAGGGACATTTCACCATTAGTCTGAGACAGAAACCAAGAAATCTCTATCATGATTGGCCTTCAGACCTCCTGAAGTCTATCTCTCACATTATCCTGTTCTCATGCTGAGGAGCCTGAGGTCCCTGTGCAGGGATTAGACAGTAGACAGTTATGGGTGTAGGGGAATTGGCTTATTTTGTCTGTCCCTGTCTGAATTTATTGCAGAGATTAAATATGACCAAGAAGAGGAAGAAGATCAAGGCCCACCATGCCCCAGGTAACTCTGAGCAATTGTGAACAGCTAATTTTGTGTTGACACCTGGAGACGCCAGGTCCAGGGAAAACAGAGTGGGCTGACAATATCGATACTGAGTTTTTAATGAAGCCTGAACTATTCCCACTAACATTGCTGTTGGTTTTCATTGCAGTAGATATTTAGGTTTCCATTTCTTCCTCCCCTTGTCATGTACTAACTACCGTAGGTTGACCATTTTTGTTTTTATGATCAGTGTATGCTGTGTGTCCTGAGGGCACTAACTCAGAGTGTCCTTTTACTCCCTCATCAGTGTGTCACCTGGACGGTTCACTGAGCTTACTTTCCCTCTCTTTCTCTTTCATTCTTTCTATCCTACTCTTGCCCATCTCAACATAAGGCAATACTTTGTTACGTCATTAATGGATCTATGTTGTTTCTTTATTAACCACTTTCTTGTGCTACCCATGAAATCTAGTTGGGGCTCTGTGGTCTCTTATTTTCCCTGACTTATTCTTTGGTTTTTCTTCCTTTTCTAGTCTCTGCATGGAACTGGTGGAAGCAGAAGGACCTGAAGTCTTCCGGTACTCACTGGATATATTGTATTCAACGTATACAGCTTATCCTGAGTTTTACTACACATGCCACGATTACACATATGCCATTTTTTTACTTGTGGAAGAGCATGTTCGCTTGACTTTGGACATGGACAGTAGGTTTCTTACTATGACGGTGATAAGACT